CACGGCTACAGGGAAGCCCTGGAACCCAGCTACTCCATGCGGAGTGCATGTCGGACAGCACGTTTCTGAGTCGCACGGCTACAGGGAAACCCTGAAACCCAACTACTCCATCACTCTCTGCAGCCCCTTTTCCTCAACAGCCTATAAGGAAACACACCCTGCCATATGATTCCCACCAGGGTAGAGGCTGGGGATGACTCATAAATATTAGCCTGCCCTGAAATTATTTTCATTTTCATCGGAGCCATCCTGAATACATCCATGAAAAACAGTCCACTGTCGAATAGCCATTGGTCACAGTGATTTACATTAATCTCTCTTCTGACTGTTTACCCTGATCAGGCTCATTTGGGGGTGGGGGGCTTGGAGCCTCTCCCAAGCAGCATACAGAACAAAACAGGGGGGACGCATGGTGTCAGTCCATTTCAGGGCACTAACTTGGATGTAATATGTGATTAATTAGATTTAAAGTGTATCTATAAGATTTATAGCACATCTTGTTTCAACTAATAAGGTCTTGGCATTCTAATTTATGAGCTTCCAGACACATTATCACTGGCGTTTCTGTTGAAGCCATCGTTAACCCCACTTCTGCCAGCTTTTCAGCCTAGTGGCAGCTGAAGCACATTAGCCTTGCTTTCCAGCAAAATAAAAAGGCAAATCAGTGACTTTTGGAGAGCCAGGAAACCTGAGCACGCTGTGGTCAGTCTTCGCAGGCCTGGGAAGTATCTGTGCTCCGCTGCCATGCGGTGGAGGTCAGTGGTATTGCAGCTCTTAAGAATAGCCCCTGACTGACTCCCACAAGGAGCCTACAGTACTTCAGATCCTTTAAATCAAGGCTCTTCAACTCTGGACCTCGATTCCAAATCCAGGCCGTGTTTTCAGTTCTCCCAGGTAGTTGTTTAATAATTACTGATTCTGATTGGTCAGAGGCTTCACACCTGACTGACAGGTAAAGGAAGGCTGGAAAACCAGCAGTGCTCGGACCTCGAGGACCGTGAGTTGAATAACCCTGCTTTAAATGGTCTGGCTGAGGAGAGACAGCGTTAGGGAAGGTAAAACACACCTACTAGAAGAATGTAAAAAAAAAGGTTGTAATTTTAGAAATAATAATAATTTAAGTTTCGTTAGAAAATGGCCCGAATGATTTACAAATCACCTCTGATTAACCAATAGAGGGAGCCAAACATCCAACTCTGTAGACTCTCAAACATCCGTCATTCAACTGCTTAACTCAATCATGGTCATTGGGGGCCTGGGGCTTATACCAGGCAGCATAGAGCACAAGGCTGGGGTACCAGTCCATCACACGGTGGATACAGACACAGTTATACACTACAGGCAGCTTAGTGATGTTGCTGAGCCCAACTGCAAGGCCTTGGGCTGCAGGAAAATTTGCAGCATATGCAAGCTGCACTGGGATAGATATTGGACTCAAATCCTCAGTAGTGGAGGTATGAGACTGCAGTGTCACTGAGCTTCCTTGCCACATGGCTTTGTTTGTGGAAACAACAAATAGCTCTTCAAGGATGTTTACTATAGCTTTACTTGTTTGAGATTGTATTACATTACAGGTAAAGTAACTGGGATTAATAAAAACTGTTTTCCAGGAACATCAACATTCACACGTGCACCAATAATGTGCCCATGAAAATGGGTAAAATGAGAAATATAAAATACAAACTAATTAATATAATGTTCAAAAGCAGACTACACAGTACATACTCAGCAATTTTAAATAAAATGCTGAAGAATGATGACAGGCTTGCCGTGTGAAAAACTACAACCCAAAATACATTCGCTGGCTAGTCGTCTGTCACCTAACAGAATCAGCAGGTAAACACCGCTTGCCAAGTACTGATTTAATAATTTGGCACAATCGTCTTGGTCACCTATAGGTTCTTCTCTGATCCATGTTCAGTTGATGACATTTAATGAGCTGCTATATTTCCTGTACTGTCCCGGAAAGGCTGCTCCTCACAGCGACACTAAGAAGCTTTTGAAAATCAATACATTTTTTACAGTGATTGCCAAATGAAATTACATTGCTACACAAAATGTGAAAATTAATTTAGATTTGTCTTCTGTGTGCAGAATTAATTGCTTTAGGGTTCTCATTCAGAAAAGCTTAATCAACCATAATTTATTTATAACAACACTACATTTAAGCATGATGACTTCATATAAAATTGGGCTGGGGTGGATTTTTAAACCAGCCCATTCAGGGAGTTCCTCTGCTTTGTGTCCTGGGCTGATAGGAATTATTTTGCACGAGGTCAGGGTGAGTCTGGAGTCCATCCTTCAAATGCTACATACAATGAAGGATTAAACAGTTTTAATGAATATTTTATTTCTTTTTGATTATATTTTGCTTCCTAAATGACTCGGATTGATACTGTGTATCACTACTACTGCTCACTATCATTGCTGTTTATGAGTCAATGACGCATTCCTTTATTAATGAGCTCCTTTTATGAAACCTTACTTTCAGGAGGAGATTAAAAATAATATAGAGAAAGCCAAGTATTTACAATGCAGGTCTGATTTTAATGAAAGGAAAATGCACTTTTAAATTAATTAGTGTATATCTGTTGTCCCACCACCTCCCAAAAAACTGCTTACTTTTATAGATTTTTTTTAAATTGAATCCACTATACGCTCAGTCTGTCCAAATGTAATTCCTGACCCTGAGGTCTGCTTTTCCCCTCCTGATTCACCAAGAAAAGGGAACAGAATTAGCAGGTCACCATCACAGTGTTCAGTTTTTTCATAATAAGAGCAGCCTTGTGAAGTCTGGCATTTATTATTATTATTTTTATTTATTTTTATTTTTTAAAAAAAAACAATTTTAGTTACAGGGCACCATGAAGAATGGCTCAATCTTCTAAACCTACGCTGTGCAGAACCTGACACAAAAAAAGAAAACAATGGCAGTAATGAAAAGCACAAACAGTAATCAACCATTATCTTGAAAACTGTTACAAATTGTCTCCTTCATTAATCTTGAAGTTGTGCCAACATTATATTACACAGAATGCAGGAGAGAGGAAGCAATCTACCAATTTACCACATTGTGTTGTTATAATAAAAATATAATCTAGACAGGCAGTCTCATCAAAACAATCAAATAAAAAAAAAGCACAAAACAGGACTGCAACACAACAAAATTAAACAGAACATACACATAATTTCATAACTCTTTCAAGTTCAACTCCAAAACGCTCAAATTTCACTTCAGAAGATCTGTGATCTGTGACTGCAGTATATTTTATTCACTAAATTAGTTTTTGACTTAATGTATATGTTTCTTGGATTGTCAAGTTAATTTGTGCTGGTACACCAGGTAATAACTGAAACAATTAGTATACTAAATAAATATTAGTTTGGCTTCTTCTTACGAGATACTGACATCTTGAATTCTGAACTTTATTGGAAAAAACATTGCACATTATACCTGCAAAACAGCCAATAGGTCAAGTCATCTGAAATTTTGCAAAATCTGTCATTAAGTGGTATGACAAGTAGACATGCAACCATAAGGAAAAGTCCTTTTTTTCTAACTTCTGAGGAACTACACAAAAAAACTGCAAACTACAATCAGAGGGTGAAAGTGAAAACATCTGGTCCTATTTCAAACACCACTTCTTAGTCCGTGAATGTCGATTTGCACAAATTTTAGGAAATGCAACCAAATTGCAATGAGAACTAATCTTGCGTTTCACAGTTTCAATGGAAGGCACATTACGATAAATGTATAGTTTTATTATGAACAGATATGGCATGTATCGTATAACTGACGTACACTTAGAACGCTAATGTCAAACAGTAACTTCATTTTATTTTTTTTTAAATCTTATCTAGCTCTGATTTAAAGGAACCCAGGGTTTTAGCTTGTGCTACACTAGCAGGAAGACTATTCCATACTCTAACTACACGCTGTGTAAAGAAGTGCTTCCTCAAATTCATTGTAAAATGTTCTCCTGCTAATTTCCACTTATGGCCACGAGTTCTAGTACTAATATTGAAGTAGCCATTTGGCTGAACAGCATCCAGACCTGTTAGAATCTTATATACCTGGATCACGTCCCCCGTTAGTCTCCTTTGCTCGAGGCTAAACCGATTCAGATAAGAACATAAGAAATTTACAAACGAGAGGAGGCCATTCGGCTCATCAAGCTCGTTTAGTGAGAATTTAACTAATAGTTCAGAGTTGTTAAAAAAGTAACAAGTAAACAATTCAGCAATCAATGTTCAAACCAGCAAGCCAAATTGAATGTAATTCACAAACGTAATGTTTGATGGCTGTGCTGCATTCTTTCTGTATTTGGTTTGCAAGGGATGCTGGGAAGGTCTTATGTGTAAAGTCACATTACTTGAAATGGAACTACCCTGGGCCACAGGAGCCAATAGTATCCTCATTACGGCAACGACAGAGCTTTGGCCAGACGGACCCAGAACCAGGCTTGAGTGCAGGGCCTGGTGTAGTCGCACAGGGTCAGGAACCGCAGTATGCTTGGGAAGGGCTTCTTCATGGGTTTGTACACAACCGGGATCAGCCGCTTGCTCCGTGCTCCTGGAGGAGGTGACCGAGAGAGTGAACAGAGTATCGCATTCATTTTATCTGAACCAATGAGCTGCCAGAGAACCTGTATCTAAGCAAGTCCCTGATGTTATAATAATAATAATCGATACTTTATAAATCCCTGTGGGGAAATTGTCTTTACGCCTCCCTCAACTTGCTCTTTGTAGAGTAAGCTGTCTGTGAAGGGCAGCCCCCTGTTGGGGCACCCAGGGAGCTGGGGGTTAAGGACCTTGCTCAAGGACCCACAGACGTGCTGAGGCTGGGTTTGAACTGGCAACCTTGTGATTACAGGCACACAGGCTTAGCCCACTGAGCCACACAATGTCCATTTACATGTTACTCTTGTTGAAAATAACTACTATAGACTAAGTGAAAGTGACTTTATGCCGAATTATCAGGACATATACAGACTGTCCCTGATTTATAACCTATGCGATTTATGACAACTCACACATACAGCCAAAGTTTCTTCTAAAAACAAATTCCGGCTGGCTGTTCGCACGGCATTGCTACCCCACCTAGTGCGCGCTGCATGTTGTACGATAGTTGAAGTGAAAGTGATTAATTATCATTGTCGTTACTCTATTCTTTAGTGGATCATGCTTATAAGCTTCACAAAGTGTGAAAATGTTTCCATCTTGCTCACTGCGGCACGTCACCTGGAGAGAGGCTCAGAGCAAACTTGGTTTGGAAGTCACAGGCATCGCTTTCCAGATAATCGTCCGAGATCACCACCACCATCCTCTTACACCTGTACACAGGCAGAACATGGCAACCTTGACAAAGGCCTCAAAGGTACGCATACATGCCCAGAGTAAAGCTACATACTACATCTGAGACAAAATAACACAGAAAATTTTCAGCGTCATACAGAGAGCTGACAAACTGCAAACAGTCAAGAGAGCATCTCAGAACACCAAAATAAGCACTCCCCAGCAGGGGAGTATAAAGGGTTGGGGCCAAAGTGGCACTCGCCCCAGGTAAAAGCTAATTGGTTCACATAGTGTCCACTCCCCTGTCATTCACCAATTCAAAACATATCATTGGCTAATGATAAGGTTGGCCAATCTGTATGAATTATGCCCCCTGGTATGTCCCCCAATTAAAAATTTCTAGAATCACCCCCACCCCACAGATGGCAAATCCGCTACAGCAGTGTTTCTCTACCCAGTCATCAGGGTCCCCCGCCAGTCCACATTTTTCTCCCTCCCGACTCACAGCAAATATCTGGTGCTGGGAGGGAGCAAAAACGTGGACTGTCTGGGGTCCCCTGAGGACTGGGTTGAGGAACACTGAACTACAGGCTACTATCCCAGCACAGATGTGTGACTCACCTCTTCTCTATGAGCTCGCTTGTAATGGTCCAGACGCAGGTGCCAGGCAGGACGTCACGGTCAAACACACACAGCTTCAACCTGTATTCTGTATGCTCCAGCTGGTTTATCATCTCACAGACAAAGCTGAAGTCACTTTTGCAGTAGCAGATGAAGGCATCAAACATCTCGGGCGAGATGCCTGCAGCGAGAGACGCAGGCTGTTAGCAAGAAAAGGAACCACTCTTGGCAAAAACAAAAGCCAAATATCGTTAACCTATTCAGACCAACAATCACATAAGATGTACGTGTCGATCAAACTGCTGTGCTTTACGGACCCTGCGGATCGTCTCGTGTGGTGATGCCCCTCTTCTCCGCCGTGCGGGGTTCACAGCTGTCCACCTCCGGTACTTGCAGTGGGGCCTCACTTGCCTTCTTCAGGTACTCTAAACAGTCCTTTTCTATGGAAAAAAACACGGGTATTGATCAAACAAGTCACCGCCACATTACACGGAAATGAAGCTGATAGAAGTAATTTAACATTAAAGCACAAAGACATATTAAACGAAGAGAAATCAATAGCGAAGTATTAAATCAGTCTTGCCTAAATAGCCACGTTTACTGACCCAAATCTATTACTAAACTTTTTTTAGTTGTTGCAACACACCACACATTGCAGCACATTGAGTGTTTTCGGTCTTGTGTTTTAACTCACCGATCGCGGAATAAAGGTCTGTAATGACGTCCTTTCTCTCTGCTTCTTCCATTATCGACAAAAGCCTCCCGACGGTGGCCTCCGATCCCTTGACTTGCCAGTGCTCCAGAACAGTCATGGTGGGGTTCTCGCATTTCTCGTAGTTTTTAATTTCCAGGTAGCTGAAGCCCATAGCCTCGGCCAGGGCCGTCCAGTCCGCAGCCACGGCATTTCTGGGATTTAAGTAAAGCCCGAGCCTTTTCCTTACGCCGAAATTCAGGGCGATCAGAGGGATACTACAAAAATCAACACTGGACTTGCACTGAGCCGACATGTTACCGGTCTGAATTTATGTAAAATTTAAATTAAGAAGTCCAGCTCGTCCGGATCCGAAAAGTCGCTACAAGTTGCCGATGCCTACAGCTTTGTTATTTCTCAACAATGGTGGAATAAATGCGGATAAAGAGAAACAAAGTACCGAAGACTCACCCATCCACTTTTAATTTAAGGGATCGTACTACGATACAAGAAAACTTCGCTGATGTTGCTTATTAGTGGGATGTTTCCCAACAAAACAACAACAATAGTAATAATACCATGTGTTTTCTGGTCGAATCCCCCCAAACTAGCAATGTAAGTGACAGCCGCGTTTCCTCGTTTTTTAGCGGTAGAAAAAAACGCAGCTCACGTCACAGGAAGGAACAGCTGGTCCAAGATCCACTTTTGCAACACCTACAGAATATTATCAGCCTGATGTTTATGAGCAGGCTCCAAGAACCTCCACAGTAGACCAATGAGTTACTGTGAAGAGTCAATTATGATCAATTCAAATGCAATGCATTATTTCCAAGTGGAAGAAAACACAACATTCTTGCAATTGGAGCTGGGAAGCATCTGCTGATCTTCACCAGCTCTTGTTTCTGGATTAAGATCTTGGCATCCCGTAGATTGACCTGTAGGTTGTTACCCATGTGAATTTCCAGCAGGAGTAGATGTATTTGGACCTCACCAAAATGCAGAAAGGCCAGAAGAAACACTCATAAGTACTAACCTTTCTGAACTGTGTTGTTCTGCTGAGACCTTGAATATACAAGGGTAAAACAATTTCATTCTCAGCAGTAGTCTACTTCTTTTGTCATTTTTCAACAATGCTTAAAATTATGGGTGGATCATTCATTAGGCCTATAGACAAGAAAATATCTGGAAATTTCTTAACGGTATCATTGAAGTAGACTTTGACTCGCAGAACGTGGTTAAATGAACTAGTCTTGGTCTTCACAGATCAAATTTCTCTTCCTTTTTCACATAAAGCCCTAAAAAAAGCCACAGAGTGTTTCACTTCCTTCCTGCATGCTAGCTCACTAAGCACTAGCGTGCCACAGACCCGCTATGACGCTCAGCTCCCATTAATGCCAGATATTCAGAGGCAGGAAAGCCCACCACTTTCAGACAGCCACAATGCATCGACTCTGCTGTTGGGTTCACAAGGGATAAGAACAATTTAAGCAGCGTAAATACACAAAACACAATGTGATAAAAGGATGTATTGAGGCACTGAATTCAGCTGCATGTCAGGTAACATTACACTGATAGTTAGAGTTTTCAAGTAAGTATTAGAGCCAGAATAGGACCAGACACTCATTTTTATGGAAACATGTAATATAATGAACAATATACAATATGTTTCTCAAAAAACACTGGTTTATTCGAAACAATAGTTAGACTGCAGACTTGCACCTAGTGCTAAGGTATCTCCTTCCTCATATGCTGGGATTCCTGCATCAAACTCCAACTCACCGTGACCCAGTCCTTGATGGGTGGTTTGGACTTCGAAGAATGGAGGCTTGAAACTGAATGGGTGACATTTATTATTTATTTGTATATATTTTTTTAAATGTCAAACCATGCATCTATTAACCTTCACACCTCAAACATCAATTAACTCAAATATTTTAGACACAGAATGTGCAGTTGAAGTACAACATCACCAGCAGGTTAAAGCATCCAACAGACAGCTCCTTGGTTATACCTGATAAGTTGAAATGTTTTCTTAGAAACTTTGTTTAAGCCACACGGTTTCCGGTGCAACTTCCGAAACAAAAACCTGCATCAAACGGCAGTGTGTTTAACTCGTCAGAAAATAATTTCCAAGTGGAGAGTGAAGCTGTTTAACCCTTCGTGGTGCAGAATGAAAGAGTGGGTTTGGTGCTCAACAGGTTACAGCATGCAGACATTTGATTGCTATTAATTTTAGTGAAGATGTTAAAGATGTAGCTTGCAGGTTCTAGTTCCCCTAAGCAGTACTGATGTGATCCATAAGCAAAATACGTAACCTGAATGATAGCTGTAATACCTTGACGTATAAACAAGTAAAAAAGAAAAGTGTCTGCTATAGAAGGAAATCAGCACTTTCAAAAATGTGAAAATATGTTGTTTCGTTTATTACACAGTGAACAATGCCTTCATTTTATTTGTTATTTGTAAGCACTACACAAAAGACTAGGAAACATGATCCGAGAAAATCCAGCCAAATGTCAGTAACAACTTAATTCTCTTTTAGGAAAAGAAGTATTAGGGTTTATCTGGCTTTTTGTGTCTCCATACCTGCACTTCTGTCGCACTGTAATCATAATGGGCCCATTATTTGCTGATATTAAACTTCCTCTTTCCCTCATGGGTCATTTCCAGCACTGGCACCGAGTACCGCCAGTTGCCGTAGTGACAGCGCACCTGAAAGTCCGTCTGAAAGGGAGATTATTATACTAAATAAACAGTCTGTTGAATTTTATTGGTATATAAAACGGAGCCAAAATGAAAGCACTGGGGGGTGAAGAAGCAGGAAAAGCTGAATTTAAACAACAAATATTCTCATCCTTGAAATTTGATTGACTTAGGAATTAACCGAAAAAGGGGCAGTTTTTTGGGGAGCAAAGATTGTAAGGGAGAGGACTCTGGTCCACTGTATGGCGGTCAGAAACACACACAAACACACAAGCTCCAGCATTCAGGATGGGAAATTCAGTATCCTGAACAGTATTTAATTGGACTGTGACAAAAATGTTGAACCTTGAAGCAAATGCATGCAAACAAAATGAGAACATAAGAAAATCCAATCTGCGACGTCCTGATTCAAACTTCACAGCCACTGGGGGTGCGAGATAACAGCAACTGCCCTGAAAACACTGAGCTAAAACAACAGGAAGTGTGAAAACTGCTAATCAAGCTACAAGTCCTGATAAAACAGAAGGCTGAAGGAATGAAAAGAGTCTGATCTCCTGATCTCATCAGATACGGCACAGTGAATAGGTGATGCCAATAACCAAACAAACCAATAGCATAACAGGGACTTTAGTACGATGAAATATCGCAAAAGTCTCAAAGACTGCAAGGGCTGGTATCATCATAAGCAGGGACATAACGGTAACACCTTACTTCATGAGGTACTAATATACTATTATTTATGTATTAATTAACCACAAACTGAGTCTTAGTTACATACTGATCTCATGTTAATTCATCATTAATGAATCATGATGTATCTTTCATCCCAAGCAGTTACTGTATTTGTTACTATATCTGTTAATTCTTTAAACCCTTGTGAACTACTGAAGGAACTACTAAGGAACTACTGAAGGAACAAGTAATGAATAACACAGGTGAAAATCTGGTCGTGTTTGTTCATCATTAATGAATCGTGATGCATCTTTTACCTCAAGTAGCAACTGTATTCATGATTTCTTTATAATTTGTACTTCAGTAGTAACTGAGTTATTACTAGCCTAAGTATTTGTGACCCCTCAAGTAAAGTGTTACCGACATAACTGATACGCAAGCGGTACACACGGCAATTTGTTGTTGTAACAGCGCGAATGAGTACTTATCTGCTGTTACACCAAGAAATTTCTGTCCATGTTAACAATTTATACGCCGAATGCATACTTGCGTACCAGTTACATCAGTCTCCGACCATAAGTGAATCTCCCTCCTATTGACCTAATGGAGGAGTGTCTCTAGCTAACGTGAATAGGTACCCAAACAGACTACAATAAAATTCTGGTATGCTGTTTGTTGCTTAATTGATTGAAATTTTGTTTCATTCAAGTATAATAATAGTGGTATGTATGGTGACTCATTACGCTCATCTGAACCCTTCAAATAACACAACATAATATTAGATGAGCAACAGAAAAAAGGCTGTAGGCCTACTACCACATTTGTAAAATTATTCATTTTCATATGCAATGAGCTGCTAAATCCGGATAACTTTTTGGAAATGAGTACATTTTCTGCGGCACAAGTAACTGAAGTGTAACCACTAGGGGGCAACAACTATATGACTCAAGTTTTATGCTAGCAGCGTGGCTTGTGTGATGCTTGGGTACAGTTTTTAACAGGATTTAAGTTCGAATCGTCAGGGATTGTTCCATACTTGTCATGGAAGGCAGAATAAAGTTTTGTATCGAAAACTGGTCTTACAAACTATTAAGACCTCAGTACGCAAAACATAATCATACAGAAATGTTAATCTCATGTAAGCGGTTACAAATTAATAAACTGCAAATCAATCACTGAAAACTTTATTTTTTTCAATTGAAGAACAGTACTTTTTTTTGCCTACAGTTAATCAGCCTTTTAAAATAGTTGAATGTGAAATCTGCAATGAAGGGGAAGTAAATCATTGAAGGGCAAGCGTTTTTTGGATGTCACAAATATTTGTGGCAAACATGGAGCTCTCGTTTCCTGCAGTCAAGTGCTGTTAGAAAGCAAGAGTTATTTACTGAGTACCTGCAATGACAGGTATTTCTAGAGGAATTTGTGTTATGTATATAAATTTCAAAGGTGCAATTACCTGTACAAACAATTACCTGTAATTTCTTTGTTACATTTCGCAGTAATTATAGCCATACATTTGCTTATAAAGTGTGCAGACAAGTTGACGATGGGGCATATTCTTGCTTATGCGATGAGCATCTTTTAATTGGTTTGTTCACAATACAAGATAGGGTGTTGTTTTAATTCTTCCCCAAAAAAGACACCCAGACCCTTATGCCCAACTCCACAATTAAGACGCTGTGCCTGTCTTTTCTCACCGTGCATCACTCCTCCACTCTCCTCTACACTTCCTTCTTCCCTTCCCCATGTCACGTGGTTCTGGTCGCTGAAACACACCTCAATGCACTTTATTGATACTAGATTTATCTTTACAACTTTTCTGATGTTAGGCTCTAGGCAGTGTTTTACTTTTATTGCTCATAACTACTGTGCACGTCCTACTGGTCATTCATTGGAAGCTCAGCCTATCAGCACCAAAGTTGACTTCTTCACACCTGAATGCTTGTTATGAATTGCCTGCTTCATTTGTAAGTCGCTCTGGATGAAAGCACCTGCTAAATGTTGGATATACAGGTTAACTACCTGCTCATGCTCAGGGGCCCTTTAATGCATGGGTTTACAGAGGCTGAAGCCCAGGGGGCAGCTTTAAAAAGGGGTTCAGCTAACCTCTTTCATCTTTTATTCTTACTCTTTTTCCTGGTCAACAGCTACACCATCGTAAAAGAAAGCAGGGAGCCTTCTCACAACTCAAACAGCCCCGTTGACCGTGTTAATGTGATTATGCTCATGGGTACAGACCAAAACCCATCCTGGATAACTGTGTCTTTAGATACTTTGACACCAGCTACCCTGGATGCTGAAGATACAGCTGGATATGTGGACCTCAGAAAAAGCCTTATATGGCAAACCCGCCCACAGTTGAACCTGAATAAGGCCACGTCTGCCACTCTTGCCTGAGAACGTCACTGCGAAGGCGTCCTCTCCGTGGCAGAATTTGGAAACTCACCTGGTGTGCATTCTGACCTTCTCCACCACACCTGGCTCCTCATGGGTCACCTTTAGCCGGTCCAGGAATGATGACCGGAAGAGTGAGATGACTCAGCTGTTGAGCTCAGCCGCAGTTACTGTACTCTGCTCCTCGTGAAACATGACAGCGCTGACCCAGCTCAGCTACTCGATGACACCAGCAGCTGCAAGAGCGACCACACATGCTGAACAAGGGAGCAGCAGCTCCTGGCTCCGACACCCCAGGAGCAAATGGGGTTAGGGGCCTTTTGGGGTTTGCCTGTTCTCACTGTTATACAGGTTTAATGCAGGTTCCTCAAGCGACCTGAAAACATGATGTCAGACTAATTACCATCTCTAAATTACCCATAGTGTGTGTGTCTGCAGTGCTGCGGACTGACATCCCACCTAGGGTCTGCCCCAGCCTTGCGCTCTGTGCTGTCTGGGATAGGATCCAACCCCCCCATATGACCTTGCCAGGATAAGCGGTTGGAAGATGGGTGGATTATGGAAAATGCGTAGTTCCCTCCAGTACTGGAACAAATAACATGCTCAATCAGGCTGTGTCTGTGATTCATTATACTCCTAGTCATATTTTCCTCAAAAATATAGTAGCATGCTGTTCAGGTTATAGGTAAATATTTAAACTACTTACACAGTGTTATGTTTCATTTTGGCAGTGCAGGGAGTTTAATTTCCAGCAGCTGGTTATCGATTACAGTGAAAATATACTGTGTATTGTCCAAGAGTAACTCTTCCAGCTGATTATGCTCATTTCAGTGCCAGCACAGCTAGGGGGCATGTGAGGGAACGTGGAAGGAATATGGTTCCCACAAACCTAAGACGTTAGGTATTTCATTTAAAAATGTATTTACATAGCTATGTCACATAATGCCAAGGGCGTCAATTTATCCCAGATTAAAAGGAAATACCAAGAAATCTACTACAATTATGTCAAAGGAATTATGTTTAGGTGATCTACAGTCAACACACAAGCATGCACCTTGGAATACATCAGTAAGACTAACACGTTTGAATGAGTTCCCTACATTACTGATGATTTAAAATGTTGCTTACCAGAAAACCCTCCCATGACCAAAACTCCTTCCCTGTTAATAATGGTTAGCATTACGGTTGTGGGCTGGTGCGGGGGGCGGGGTTGCTGCTAAATCTATCTTCCTAATATGGAAACGTTCGTCTGTGCATCTCTAACAAATGCAGTCGTGTCGTTTAATCTTCGGCTTTCTCATTATATTCACTCGAGACATAAAAAAAATCATCTCACAGCATGCCAATATGCATGTCCCGATCAATTTGCATGCAGAAAGAAAACGGTGTAATTTCACTTATAATCACGGAGACAGAAGCAATTTCAAATGGAACAGATAAAGATACCGGCTGTAGACGTATAAATGGGCGATATCACGGAAACGCTTAGACTGTGACGGGAAACCGCAGGAGACGAGCGACGCGCAGACCGTTCGGTCAACTTTCACAAAATACGGACCCAGTAATGCGTGTAACAACCCAGAAACACCAGTCTAATTTAACCATACCTTGAAAGTTTCTCACATAAAAATCGTTTGAATTTTGATTAATGCACCCACTCTGCACGCTGTTTGTTATTCATTGATAGTGAAACCACTGGACACCTTGCAAGGCACCATCTGCTGATGCACCTTTTGCCATCTGCAAGTGTCAAACACATTTTCCCCAAATGTTCCCATATTTTGTGCATGAGTTTGCCTGTCACTAAGTAACGGCGCCCTTGTTGTCACTGATCTAAACCATATGCAGAACTTTAAAGCGATTATTTGAGCGAGAAATATAAAGGCAGGGGACACTCCGGCGGCCTTAAAAAAAATCAGTTTATTTCCTTATTTATTTAAACATATATAAGAATCAGTCATAAACAACGTCTTTTGGCTGCCTAATTAAGGTCCTTATACCGGGTACAGTCAAAAACCTTCGGGCGGAGATCATTTCATACTGCTCCTCCAGAAAACGGTGTCATCCGGGCACGCGATCATGTGTTTCCAGAAACGTAACTGCAAGGTTCGCAGCCGCGCGGATAAACACCTTCACTTGACACGATGTAGGAAATAGTGCGCAAGGCACGGGGTGATACACCTATTTCACCCATTAAGGGTGTTTACAGAAGGCACTGGCTGGATGTTGTCACCTGTAACCTTTTCCATCACTGTTTGTGCTCTGCCTTCCATTTCAATGAAGAAAAGGTTTAATTTTTGGCACTCATTCCATAGGTACTGTAAGATATATCTGACTCCAATATAGCTAGACAGGGGGGGCTGTCGATCTATCTGAGAACTTCAGGATGTGCCTGAAATTGATTCAATTCAGTTCAATGCAGGGTGATGTTGCTCAGTGTCTCATTTACAGATGTACTTAAGAAAAAGTGCTGACCAAGGAGTGACGCGGTTGTGTCACTCCTCCAGGGCTTTGTGTGTGTGTGTGTGGTATGTATATAATTCCATTGTGAGGACATTTGGTTCCCACAATGTGATAGAAACCCGCTACTGTGATGCTGTGGGAGCTATTTTTTTCAGTCCCCACAAAAGAAAATTCAATTTTATAAAAAATCTCTGACTGCAATGAGAGAGAGAGAGTCCTGCCATGGTACTCGAACCCTGCTTTGTGCCATATCCCTAGCCTGTCCCGTGGGTTAGAATGATGTAATGCTTTGGTCTCAGAGATCCAAATCCATGCAAAAGTAATAAAGTCTATTTGCTGATTGGCTGGTGTTTGCACAGGGGACATGGACAAGGCACAGATGCCCACACCCAGATTTCTGGATCATTCTTCAGTTTTCACAACTGGAGATCAACAGAGAACCTGTTGAGCAGTTGCAGGAATGTGAGACTAGTGAAGAAGTGACAGTAGCAACTAATACAGTGACATACATGGGCTGAAACGAGGAACTGGGTTTAGAATAGGGGGATTGGCCCTCCCCCTTAAGTTATTTAAAGCATGTGCTTGCGCTCTCTCTCTATGAAACTACGTAACAATGTATTAAAAGCTTCAGCATGTTCTGTTTTAAAAACCTTAGAAACACCTTTTTAAAAAAACCTCTAAAAACAGCACAGCTGCTGTCCATGGCGACCTGGGCATCCGTGAGGGTTTTCTTTCCATGTAAATGCAACTCTTATCATATAATGAGGAGCAGACTGGCCATCTGGTATACTGGGCGATTTCCCAGTAGGCTGATGGGCTTGCAGGCTGCCAAAATTGATTGTTAGGGACCCCCCTGGTCAGCAATAGGGTACCCTCCCCTCTCAGGAAAATTTACCATGGGGGGAAATTCCAAGGGCGATTCTTGATATTAATCCAGCCCTACATGTAAATTGTCATTTTTGTCAGAAGTGTAAATAATCCTAGAAGCCAACCTAGAGGCAAGATCGAAATGGGCACCTCAGAGATTCTCTCAGTGCCTTTAAGTGCGTTTGATTACTTACCTATAGTTTCAGTATTTATAGATTCTGCATTACACCATTTCTGGTCTGTATTCAATAGAGGGGTACTGAACTGAAATAAATCTTTCATCCATTTGCTTGGCAACTAAAACGTAACTCAAAAAATTATTTTTGATTTCAATACAACAGTGTGGACATTTAACCAGATGCAAATTCGTATGGGCAGCATTTGCTATCAGCCCTGGATTGTTACTTGTTCATTGCTTACACCGTAACTCATAACAGCGCAGTAGTTTGATCTTTCTGTAAACATCACTACAGACCAAAAAAAGACTCTTCTTACTTGTAATATACATCTACAAAAATGCCATATGCATTATCAAAAATATGACCTCCATTTCAACTGGATTATTCCCTATTAAAACGTTATATCAAAAGTGCAAGAATAATCACAATAGTGTAGGTTGGCAGAAATTAGCAGGTTAACAATTTTTGAGTTCTAACTGCTTCAACAGTTTCTCATAACATGGTAAAAGTGTCCGATATAATTAAGACAAAGTAAATTTGAACTTTGGATTTATAAAATGTTTTCCGTTGACACATTCAGTACTTTCTGTACATATTATTGTCACTTTCTTCATCCGTTGGCTTCTTCCAAGCCAACAGTCGGAGTGAGTCACGTGGAGAAGGTTACGGGATGAAAAACAATCTATCCTGTTGGTTACAGGAAAACACCCTCAGGGTGTTGGGAAAAACACATTAGTAGTCTGAGAAAGATGCACCCCAATTGGGATCCAGAGAAGATGGCAAGTTATGGATTTAGCAACCACTGTACATCTGTGCCTGTGGGTCTGATACAGAAGTTCCAAATGTGGTTCCCAGCACCAATGACAGATGTCAAAAAACCTGCTCTGCTAAAGCTTCGGCGTCCAGGTGATAGATGCGCCAGGGGTGGAAAGGTCAGTTTTTGCCAGACAAGGGAAGTTCGGGTGACCCCAGCAGGCAGTATGAGGCAGGCACTGAAGGGGACGTAACTGGGGTGCGAATGCTGGGTGACTTAAAAGCCACTCTGTACAAACAGGTGTTTGAGCAGCACCTCAGCAGTAGGTCTCCTCTTCTCCTCCACAAAGACCTGCCAGAGGAAGTCTCGACAGGCGTCAGTCACGCCCTCGGGCAGCACCGGCCTGGTGGGCTGTGTGGCGATCTTGAAGATGGCAGCCATGGCCTCGAACTCTGCCCATGGTGGCTTCTGGGTCAGCATCTCCACCACCGTGCACGCTACACTCCTAAGACAGACACGAGAACCGTCAATGTACACCAAGAGGGAACAGCCTTTGGGTGGATAGATGGACGGATGGAGGGGAAGGTCTTTCACAAAACAGCCTTTAGATGGATGATTGGATGGATGGGTAGGTGTGTGTATGGTTCAATATATAGACAAATGGATGGATACAGTCAGTCTTGCTACAACGCTACTAATGTGTTCCTGAAAATCCTTGTGTTCACCAAAACCACATACTAAAATACACATATTCAATGGAAAAAACGTGAAGAGGATGCGACTCCAAAACTTAGTAACTTATACCAAACAAAATAAATAAAATAACAAAAACAGTAATACCAGTGGCTAACACTGTAATTATGTGCATTTTATTTAATTTTATTTAAGTATATTGAAATAATAATACATTATATCATAAACATCTCCTATGAGTCTTATAACTCTCAGGAGAATTGCTTAGTAACTGAATGTGCCGAAGTCGCTAACTTGTCCATTGTCCGTACTCAGGGGTCATGGTATCCAATATGATGCTTCATGAACCATTTGCTGTATTTTGTGATCCCACTAGATGGCGATCTTGCTTTACTTTGGGGCAGGTTTGAGCCCCAGTACCATCTAGTGGGGTCAGAAAACACAGCAAATGGTTCATAAAGCGTCGTTTTGGTGGTCATTAGTCAGGAGTAGTGGGTCACAGCCACAATGCAGCTGGGCATGCACACAGCACAAATACAACAGATTACAGTATGCGGAGGGTTACTGAAGGCAACGTGGCTACATACAGACCATGAAAAGCAAATGTCAGTGATTTAAAAAATGTTGCTGTGTTTTTATTTGACAATTTGTCAAATAATTAAACATTTTTTAGAATCTTAGACTTTGACCTGTGAATGGTTGTACAAAGAGTTGCATTCTTTTAGATGTGAAAACCAGTTTGACCAATTCACTGAAAAGAGCTTCAAAAGAACAATTAGTCTACTAAAAATCACTGAACTTTCAAAGAAAATTAAACGATCAAACTCAAAAACGCAATGGAAACGATTTTATGTATAATATCCACAATTGAACATCTGTCTTGGATACTGTAGCTGTTTCTGCCTGCAAGTCGTGTTTCCTGCGAAGACCATATCACATTGTAGTTCACATAGTGTTCTCTCTGACTGAAAATCGCGCAAATACAAATGTGATTCCACATTTTATTGGATTTGTATACTAATATATTGATTGCGTTAGAGCAGATTTGCAGTGTGATATCACGCATTGTAGCAGGACTGACTGTACTTTGTAATTCTGAAGGAAACTGCAGCTTCAGAGTAGCTCAATACCCATTTAGACAGGAAAAAGACATTTACACATTAAAAGATGAAAACAATAAATAACATAATAAATAGTAACAGTGCAAAGAATGCTAGGGAAGGTATTGCACAGAGTTTCCATAGCAACAGATTTCCATCCAGCCAGTAAATGGGCACAGTAATCCTTTATCTCAGAAAGAGTCATGGAAGGATATCAGTAATTACAAGGTGCTAACACGTGGCATGTGGCTCAGCAGGGTTTGAAACCCATCCTCAGCAGACGAGTTACGTGTTCAATGGCCCCTAAGGCAAGGCCTTTAACCCCCCCAAAATGCTCTGGGGTGTGGCTGCCCTGGTGCTCGGACCCCAAACTAAAACATTAGCTACATATTTGTATATAAGTGTGTATTAGTAATTTTATAAATTGCTAAAATGTATGAAGGAGAATCTTTAATCAGTGTTTTCCCTGGAAACCAATCTCAACATGACAGGTCAGAAAAGGTGGCACGTCCCCCTACCAAATGTCTGCCTTTCTCCCGTAGCCCTCCCCACTGATCACTTCCGGACTCATCCAGTAGGGGGTGCCGGTGACCGTTTTGATCCCGGTGCCGGACATGCAGATTGTCTGGATGCGTTTGCTGGCGCCGAAGTCCCCCAGCTTCACATTCCCAGACAGGTCCCTAAGGATGTTGGCACCTGAAACGGGACATATATATGGTATTAGGAAATGTTGCATGAACCCAAATGACGGGCGATTTCAGGATTTCTTTAAGGTGGAAGGCATGAGGGCCTATAGTTCATACAGAAGGGCCAAACTTATAATTAGCCAATGACATCCTTTGAATCAGTGAGTGACAGGGGAGAGGGCACTGTGGGGGCCAATCAGCTTTTAGCTAGGGAGAAGTGCCCCTGTGGTTCTGCCCCTGCCACTCTTGTTTCCACTGTCAGTACAGAGAATGAAATGGCAACTGGGCAAACCCTCCTTGGTGGCTACAGGCTTGAACCTCACACATATACTGTAAAGCTTCAGTAGGTGTTTCTCAGAAGCCTGGACTCTTCAAAATGTATTTAAAATAACTTCGGCACTTCAATGGCTCCCCCTGAAATTCTCAGCCCCCTGAAAAAATATCACCTTTGGTGAAGATCAATCTGATAAATATAGTATGCCACATGCTTGGCAAAATGTACCCAGGGTTGGGGGCACGAAATGTGTACAAAATCACGTCCCATATTGGATAATCCTGTAAAACATTGGATTGAAGGGGGGGCTGCCGCCGCCCCCCCGAATCTGCCAGTGTATCTGTGCCCCTATGGTAACACCCTGGTCCAAGGTTCATAAGGATGACACAGTTAGCATAGGCTAACTGTGCCTTAATGCCCCGTCAGCCAGTGGCTCACTGCTCCAGACATTACCCCCCCCCCCCCCCCAGACCTAGGGAGGGGCGGCTGGTGGTGATTTTCAAAATGGTTGGCAGTATAACAAAAGTCCTTTATTTTCTTATTTTATTGGATCACTTACTTATATGTAAATTTTACTCTCCTTTCTTTTGTAAGAAATTATCTATAATCCTTCATACCAGCATGACTCCTCCTCAAGCGATTTGAATATACAGATAGCTTAGTCAGCAAGCTAACTACAAAACTAGTCTACTAAAAATCACTGAACTTTCAAAGAAAATTAAACGATCAAACTCAAAAACGCAATGGAAACGATTTTATGTATAATATCCACAAACGCCATTACGATAAACTGTCTCCCTGGATTACAACAAAATGTTTCTCCACCGTTGCATGGGACAGAATCAATAGATACTGCAAGCCAACACCCAACCTTGTCAGTCGTGAACATTAACATTATTGGTAGCTTATCCTGTCTTGTTGAGATGTCTCCCCATCACTATGCAGAGAAACCTGGTTTCCAGGTGGGACTAAAATATCTGACTGCAAGTCTATCTGTCCAGTCAACGTTGCCTCAGTAAAAACTATGTATGAAGCTCCCATAGACTCCCAGAGCAGCAGGGCATCTGGGCGGAAAACATGTAACTGAAGCATATTCACCAATAAGCTTTAGTCTCCATGTAGACAAAGCGTACAAGAGTCTTCCATAGACTCCCAGAGCAGCAGGGCATCCGGGCGGGCTCTAAAAACATGTAACTGAAGCATATTCAAGTAGACAAAGCGTACAAGAGTCTTCCATAGACTCCCAGTGACACACAGTGGGTCTCTATGGGCTGAATTTGTCCTGATTTCAAAGGGAAAATTTGCGCCTGCTTTTGAAAACAACTCCAGTGATACAAAGAGTGGTGTGGTTCAATTAGTGAGCTACATCACATTTTAATTGCAAAATAAAATGAAATATTTATACATTGATGAATTCAATTCTTTTGGCAATTTTTTAGAGCAATCGCTTATGCCAGGGAGCACAAACAGACCCAGTTATGGACAGGACACCCATGAAGGCCTGCTGTCTCCACCTCAGTGTCCGCAGAGCAGTGCGTTCGGTCAGCTGACTCGTCACATACGTTTTGCAATGTAGGTAAAGCGCATCAAACAACTTTAAAACTAAATAAATAAGTTCAGGAGCGTCACTAGAGATTTATGGAAATGGGGGCTAAGCCTTTACTGGGGGGGGTCTGACTTTAATTAAAATGAATGAGAACATGCTACTTAAACTAACTAGTGTACATTCATTCAATTCACCCCTGAATGAATTGAAGTATTTACACGCACACAAATAATACAATACATTAAAAAAAATGTAATAAAATATGCTATTAAAAATTGGCTCCTTTTTAGTGATATTGTCTTCTGTGCAATTCGATGCACTCATATGGCACACAGATTGCTTAATGTGAAAGAAAAAGGTTGTTTCCAGGCCTTTAATTTAGCAGACATGAGCTGGTGCATCAGAAGCAGACCTGTGTTAAGACAGCACAGAGCTGTGTAATGCTCAGAACGCGTAAAAACATGTACCCGCCATCTGATCTCAATGACAGTGACATCAGCAATGACAGTGACATCAGCAATGACAGGGCCACAGCAGTCATGGAAAAAGTTCCACCTTTTTGAAAACAATCAGAGAAGAATCAGGTCTAACTTGTATTCGAATGAGCTTTGTTGGTTCCCGAAAAGCAGCGAGCAACTCATCCGTGCTCTTCGAGGAACCTGAGCTCTGGCTTGAGGAAGACGGGCGCGGTGGGATTGGCAGGGGGCAGGCACGTTACCTTTGATGTCCCGGTGTACGATCATGTTGCTATGGAGATAGTACACCCCCTGCAGGATCTGCTTGGTGTATTTGCGAGTCAGTTTTTCTGGCAAGGCCCCGTACGCTTTCAGCTGGTCCTTTATGGAGCTCTGAGGGAGGAGGAAGAGGACCAGGGGTGTGAGAAAGAGTATTCTGCCACAACATGCATAAAAAATGAATAAATAAATATAAGGATCTGCTTCCACACAGAGTTCCTACTGCTATTTCTTCCTGTCCGGTTCATGCAGAGCAGGAGTCCATGTGTGGTGTACTGACCATCAGTCCATGCCGTTTACCACCAGAACACCGTATTTCCTGCCACTTCCTGTTTTAGCCTCATGGCCCAATGCCAAAATCGGTAAACTGATCTGTTTCTGACATCCTTTTATTGAAATCCAAGCTCTTTTGTTTTCCCTTTATTTGCAACCCCCCCCCCCCCCCCTTCCCCGGCTGGGGATTATTATCAGCACATCTCAACACACATGGGCCCCCTGTGAGACCTTTGGTCAACGGAGAGAAAAGTGACGAGGTCCAGCCCCCCCCCCCGGTTTGCCAGCAGCTTTCCCTGGAACACAAACATCCCTCCTTTCGCAAATTATGCCTCAAAACCCTTAGTGGCTTCTCAACACAACATCTTAAATTTTAGTATTATTGTGTTTTTTTTTTTTTTTAATCTCGCACCCTGACGTAAGCTTCTGCTAGCCCAGAATGTCACTGTGGAGAGTAGAAATCGAAAATAAACGAGCTCGTAAAAGCGTGTAAACTACCCTCTGAGGATAACTGCCGCTCACGATTGGCACGGCCCGCCGGCTTGTTAAATCCCAGGGTGTCTGGCTTTTGAGTGCAGACGCTGGATGCCTGGAGTAGGATGCAACTGCCGTCCATAGCTCAGGATCCACCCTCCTCAGCTTAGATTTCACTCTCCTCAGCTCAGACTTTGCCCTCATTGACTCAGACCCTGCCCTACTCAGCTCAGTCTCTGCCCTACTCAGCTCAGACTTTGCCCTCATTGACCCAGACCCTGCCCTACTCAGCTCAGTCTCTGCCCTCCTCAGCTCAGTCTCTGCCCTCCTCAGCTCAGTCTCCGCCCTACTCAGCTCAGTCTCTGCCCTCCTCAGNGTCTCTGCCCTCCTCAGCTCAGTCTCCGCCCTACTCAGCTCAGTCTCTGCCCTCCTCAGCTCAGTCTCTGCCCTCCTCAGCTCAGTCTCCGCCCTCCTCAGCTCAGTCTCCGCCCTCCTCAGCTCAGACTTTGCCCTCATTGACCCAGACCCCGGCCTCCTCAGCTCAGTCTCTGCCTTACTCAGCTCAGTCTCTGCCCTACTCAGCTCAGTCTCTGCCCTCCTAAGCTCAGACTTTGCCCTCATTGACTCAGACCCCGCCCTACTCAGCTCAGTCTCTGCCCTCCTCAGCTCAGTCTCTGCCCTCCTCAGCTCAGTCTCTGCCCTCCTCAGCTCAGACTTTGCCCTCATTGACCCAGACCCTGCCCTACTCAGCTCAGTCTCCGCCTTCATTGGCTCAGACTCCACCCTCCAAACATCTCTGCATCCCCCCAAACAGACTCCACCCACTACCACACCTACCCCAGCCATGTACTCCACGAAGATGGAGATCTTGCGCTTATCGGGGTCCCTCAGGCAGCCGTAGTACTGCACAATGCGCTCATGCCTCAGATTCTTCAGCAGCTGGATCTCACACTCCAAGGCATTTACCTCCTGCATGGGGCAGATAGGGTGAAACACCTGAGCCTCAGTCCCATTTAGCCACCATACCCTCTACAGGCAGCTGTTAGAATTACATTTTCTTCACCAGCACTAATATCAAGTGTATTGGGTGACTTCCAGTATTTAGCCTAGCGAACTCCCAGTATATTTTCTGATTACTCATCGTGATCATTAAAGAATCAAACAACACTGTTAAAAGGTACACAGTACGAAGTCCACCACAGTGGTTGTTTTTTTTTTCCTGGAATCAGCAGTATAACTAAAAAATCTGTGCCCTTAGACAAAATGCCAGCTTAGACCTCCGCCCTGCCCTGCCTCCCTACCACACATAAATTTACATATTCCATGCCCAAACTGTGCCCCTGCATGGAATTACTGCTTTTGTGTGGGTGTTTTCCCAAAATTTATCACAAAACAACCACAGACATGACTATAATCAGGAGTCATACATTAGGTGCTAATGAGCATCACGTCACACCATGACTTAGGAGGGCGTTCCCACAGGAGAAACTCCACACTGCTCTCAGCTCACCTTGCTTGTCTCCTGGCACTCGGGGTCGAAGGGCACCTGCTTGACGGCCAGTTCGCGACCCGTGTCGGCGTCGTAGCACAAGTAGACCTCTCCAAATCCTCCCCGGCCCAGCAACTTCCCCAACCTCCAGTTTGCTGGAGCACGAGGAGCTACAATGAAAATAAAAACTGCTCAGCCCTCCTGCCCACCCACCTGAGACGCAGAATCATAGAGTTATCGCTGTCGGGGAGGTTTCTGGATAAAGGGTTTTACTGGAAGATCATTCAAGCATAAACACAGGTTCTAAAAAAAATCAAGTAAATGTAAAAAAAGACAATAAATTAAAAAATAAGTACATTCACGCCATAATCAATCCTCCACTTCAATTAATGTAATAAATCAGTGAATGTTAAATAATTAAAATCCATCATAGGGTGTGTAAAGGCAACAGTCATTGCTGATGTCACTGCTGTTGAACTCTCTCACATTTGAGCCGCGAGCTGTCATCTGGAGTCCGGACTGCCGTGCAGCGGTCTGCGTACGCCAGGGTGGGGGGAATCGGCTGGAACAGGCTCTCCTGAGGCATGAAGCTACGAGGGAAGGTCCGGCGACCTGCAGGCAGCCCCCCCCCCCCCACCACCACCATGCAGACACACGCATACCCCCAATCGGTAAACACACAAGAAAGCAGGAAGGCGTATCCATAAACAAAGAGAGCAAGAAGACACACAGAGTGGACACACAGAGACGATCGCAGACAGACAGACACACACACACACAAACAGAGAGATTAAAACTGCTGTTAGCTCTGATTCCCAGCCAAGGATGAAGCCCACTAGGATATCGTGCTTTCCACTACATGCGCCTCACTTCCTGTCAGACAGGAAGCCATTCCAAGGGCTTTTGTATAAGTTGTGTGAGAGAGACCAGGGTCATTGTGATCCCAGATTAGGTTTCAGTAACTGCCACTGAAAACCAGCCTCATCTGCCCCCCAGGTTTGACCCCTCGACACCCCACCCCAATCAGTTTCAGCAGCCTTCCTTGCCCCCTGAAAATGAACACACCCCTGACTGACACTGTGGAATCCAAACCATAGGCAGGGCTGCTTACCGTCGTTGTAGTCCTTGCTGCGCCGGGACAGGTGAAACTGCCGGGGGAAGGTGCCGCCCTTCCCATGCCGACCTGCAGGGGGAGCCATACAGGCCTCAGCATCAAAAGGACCACCATCACAGAGAGGCCTGCAGAAGCTTTACCCGTTTCTTGCACGGCCCAGAGTGAACAATTTTAGTAATTACCACAGAGAGGGCCCCTCGACCAGCCACGAATGATAAAGTCACAACCTGCTATATTTTCACTGATTTCCAATAGCCAGTGAACTGAAGCAATTATGCAATTTTGCATGTGACCCAATGTACATAATGTAATGTTCTGGGCATAATCTATATAAGTTTATATACAGTACCAGTCAAAAGTTTGGACACACATATCCACTGAAAGGTTCATTTATACTTCTCTATATATAGATATGAAAACTAGAAATGAACACATAAGGAATTATATACTGGCCAAAAAAAATATTAAACTGCTCTGTGGGTTCGGACTCAGAAGATTGACAGTTCAAATCCCATGGTCGGCAGAATGATCCCACTATTGGGCCCTTGAACAAGCCCTTTGACCCTAATTTTTCCAGGGACTGGCTGACCCTATGTTCTCCTCTATGACAGCTTCTTGAGGTGGCCTCCTGGGATGCTTTTCCAGCTGTCCTGAAAGAGGTCTCACATATATACTGAGCATTCATTGGCTGATTTTCCTTCAGTCTCTGGTCAAACTTCTACAGAACCATTTCTCAGGTGGCCTGCGACACTATCACTCTCCTTTGTAGGTGGCTTGCCATGTCCAAACTTTTGACTGGCACTGAATATATACACACACACAAATGCAGACTTGTCCTATTCAGGGTGGAAGGGATCTGGAGCCTGATAACTCCTCAGCATTTTTATGAACTGTGGGGGGAAACTGTAGTACCTGGAGGAAACCACACAACGACATGGGGAGAACATGCACGTAGAGCCGTGGTGGAGACTCGAACCTTGGTTCCAGAGATGTGAGACAGCAATGCTAACCATGGTCAAAACTATTATTTATTGGTAGTTAGAACTCTTTATATGTAGGAGCGACCATATTATTAGGAATGTTTATGACAAAAACGATGTATTCCCTGGTGGCCATGGCTGTTCTCAGCCTCGTGCTGAAGTTAGTGCTGTCCTCTGGTCCGACATTGAACCAGAGTCCACCAGAGGCATAGGAAATGGGGAGCAGATGTGTGTGCTAACGACCTGCCTTCTCTCCACTGTTTACATTACTGGCACCAAAGGGGACACCATTTGCTTAATGTCAGTGTTTTGCGTACCAGAGGACTAAGAGAGGAAAACAGGCAAACTGTGATGGAGAGATAGAAAGAACGAATAACAACTGTTTAGCAGAACAATGACAGGGTTGTGGGTGAAGATTTAGAGTAGAGTGTTTGAGAACACTCACAAGAGCGTAAACCCCGATTTCTGCATTATCGGTGTAGTGGAAAAGATCCATTCCCCGAGGCCAACATTTGAGTGGATAAACTCCTTAACGGGCCTCATGGGGATGCAGAAAAGTTATCTGCTCAGCTTTCGAAACTGAAACACCTTCGGGCAGCAAGCTAGAAGCAGGTGTGAGGCAGCGGTGGCTGCCTTCCTCTGATTGGCTCAGTCTGAGAATTCTGGGAAATCTGGAGCCGCAGCGCATCACTACCATAATGCCAACGTTGCTAGGAACCGGCGCACTTTCACAGCGTATCTGTGGTATTACCTGAGATATTGCGACGGCTGGGCCTTAAAAATGTACAGTACATAGGATACAATAGGGGCTGGAACTAGAAGCAGATCACCACAAGATTCTCTTACCTTTGTAATCATAGTTGAAGTTCAGGTAGTTATTGTCCCTGTTTAGCTGGGAGAATGGAGGGCTAAAATACAAAAAAAAAACAATCATAATAAATAGATAAGCAAATTAATAAATAAGCAAAATGTCCAATTTGTTATTCTATTGCTTCTAGGCAATTGTGTTGTGTTATTCCCTAAATGCACTGGGCCTTGTTGGCATGTGAAGACTTCAACACTGCAGGTTATTGTGATCTGAGGTTTTAATTGACTGTTAGTGAATACAGCGTGAATACACCGAGGAATTCTCCCTGCAGACCGGAAACTTCCCAGAGCACTCAAATTCCACTCTTCTAGCAAAGGTTTTTGTTGTTCGCTCTCCTCAAACCTGTATGTGCGACATCGCTTTTTCAGAACAGGAATGGCACGTGGTCACACATCCCCAGGACGCATGGTGTTCCGTGCCAGGGGCAAGAATTTCCATGCAGTCATTTCCTACAATTGTTTGCAGGACCCAGATAAGGGTCTCGGTCAGCTAGCAGGACTCTTGGCCGCCTCCAGGGGGCGCTGAGAGTAGCAGAATCTGGGATGCAGATAATGCGGCTCTGGTGCTTAGCAACAAAGGCTCTGAAGCATGTTGCTCCTGTGCTGTTCCTCTATATTCAGGGACACTGGCCTTGTCAAGATGGTAATGTTTACATCTGTCCTTAAAGGGGTGGACGAGCATGGCTTGCAATAGCTTCTCTATTTTTGCAGCCTCCCAGAAAAAAAAATAATTCTAAAACCCTTATTTTTGTATACATTTCATACCCCCTGAGCTAAGGGGGCGGGTATGGCATCCCGTATTTTTTTCAGGGGGCTGAGCCCCCCTGAGGGTGAAATCCTTGAATCGCTCCTAGGGCAATTCACTACTAACAACAACAACAACAACAACAATAATAATAATAATAATAATAATAATATATTGTCATTCTGCAATGGGCATCCCAACCAAAGATGTTCTGTCTCAATCCCAATGCACCACGTGGGCTTTAGACTCACCTACATAAGCTGAATAAGAGGTTGTGGGAATTATAGTAATAATAATTGAATAAATATGGCACATGGGTCAGCTCCCCAAACCCAAATGTCTCACCTGTCCAGTGAGTGGTCCAGGGACTGACAGCTCCCGGACAGGGAGTCCTCAGCGCTGCCAAAGGGCTGGAAGCAGAACGGGGGGGTTTGGTCACATCCATGTTGACCCGAAACCACCAACGGGCCAACAGCAGTGACATGGCAATCTCAGCAATAAAGGAGCGGTCAAACTAGCTTGAAAAAATATTTGCGTCTCATTCACTTCCACTATAGCTATGCGATGCGAGAATCAGATTCTTCACTTCTGGTAGCAGAGTGATTTCACACCATCTTACTTGAACTTTGACCTGTAAATTCGCCAAGCCAGGCGTGGTGTGCATGGGGATGGCCTTTCTGCTTCACAGACCGTGGGCTGTGGAACAACCAATTCTTTTTAATTGCTGACTGCCAGAATATAAATTAGTAAACAGGCGAAAAGCTGCATGACCGGCAGTGAGCATTCAAACGTCTCTCAAAGGTATAAACCATATTACAGTCGCTAGTTAGTATGCTTCACACTAAGCTAGAAGGCTAATATTACAATATGCATTTATTACACTGTGAGCTACTAATTTAACCAATACTGGCTGGCGAGGTATGAGAAAAAAAATTGATAAGTAGTTTTCAAATATACATTTTAAAGGCAATGTATGTGACTTATTCCTGATTAACATTACTCCTTATTAACGCTACTCCTTATTAATATTACTCCTCATTAACATTATCCCTTATTAATTTAACATTACTCCTTATTAACGTTACTCCTTATTAATATTACTCCTTATTAACATTATCCCTTATTAACATTACTCCTGATTAACATTACTCCATATTATCATTATTCCTGATTAACATTACTCCATATTAACATTACTCCTTACTGACATTTCACCATATTAACATTACTCCTTAACAATACTCCAGATTAACATCACTGCACCAACACTAACTGAAATGAAACATCCTTTACGACGCACACTTTCACTCGGAGCCGTAAAGAAAATGAGAATTTTTTCGCTCTATTGTTGACCACACCTTTAGAAGTGCTCACGGGAGAGCAGCAAGCAAGAGGGCCAAGGCTTCGTTAATGGAAAGTCTCCATGCCGAGGACACAGCCTGCTTGAGGTTTATACTTATTGGGGGGTGGAACAAACCCAGGGAAAGAAATCGTTACTCTTTTATATAGTCTATTTATCTAGCTGATGCTTTTTTGCAAACCATCCTTGTGGCTAGATTTCTTGCAGAAATGTCTTAACTGAATAAGTATGTCAAGTGTGACTCAGGGGTACAACGGTAGTATCTTGCTGGGAAAAGGACCTGCAACCCACTCGATCACAACTCCATCCAGTGGCAGTGTGTACCACCACTCAAACCCTGCATTAGCAGTAGGCCCCCTGTTGGTCACAAACAGTTACTGCACTAAATACCAAATAAAAGCTGAAGCAGCATGTTCTTCTATCCAGCCAGCTAGGTATGATCCTCTGGCTAACTGTTTAGTTTTTGGGGGGTAGGGCGACTGTTTGATGTTGCCCCATAACCCGCCTCTAAGCTCCATCTCCCACTAGGTTTCCTGGACAGACGGGGGAACCTACATTCTGGTCCAGGGCCTCGGGAATGAACTCTCCTTCGCTGTTGATGCTGGTGTAGGAGCCTTGGCGTGCGATCTGCTGCTGCTCCTCAGGAACACTGCCCGGGGGGGGGGAGGTGCGCCCAGGGTGCAGGGAGCCTGGGTGACCGGAGGCAAGCAAAAGGCAGGTGAAATGGCGCAACGGGACGAGGGCTCCATGTCTACTCAAAGGAACATTTCATCACATCTTTACACCAGACTCGCACTGTCAGTCATATGGCATTCAGAAAGGTGACCTTTGGGGGGGGAGGCAATGTCACAGTAACCGCCATCATTTATATTAAACACAAGGGAGGGGGGAAGCCTGTAAGGCTACCTGGCCACCTAGGCTCATTAAATGTAATATAGGAGAACTTGAGAATGGCAGAACTGTGTGTGAATTTGGAGCTACTGTGTGTGAATCTCCTTGTTGAGACAGGCTGTGAATGATCTGTATGATCCCCCCCAGCTGGAGTTCATTACCTTATTACTACTGTGCAACAGCGTGAAATTTTATGAGCTTTAATTAAGAGTCACTTAGTAGTCGTGTAAGAAACCAGAAATTAGCCATGAGAAAAAACACTGTGGTCTTCAGGATCCTATGGACCCCTCCGCAGTGGAAAATCTAGGATTTTTGTAAGGTGCTATAACATCCTAATTAGCCAATGATATGTTCTGAATCGGTGAGTGACAGGGGAGGCCAATCAGCTTCTATCCTGGGCCAGTGTCTGTCTGGCTCCGCCCCTGCTCCTCTGCCTTAAAGAGAGAATCTCACACCCTGATTCTCTTCATCAAGAGACAAGACGATGGTTTATATTTACATTACAATACTCAGAAATAGAAGAAATGATAGTGGATGAATTTAGACTGAAGAGAGCGAGAGAGCTAGCAGCTTTGGATCAAACTGAAGTTGCACATTGCACATGGTGCAGTTCACCCAGACTCACCCGCCGAGTGTTTGCGGACTCTCTCCGGACCCTTGAATAAGGACCCCTTCAAGTCTCCCAGGGACTTAGACGGCTTCATCTCACTCTGTTTATCTGCTCTGCTGTTGACCTCCAAGAACTGTGTCACGCAGAAATGAGAGAACAGCCATTGTATAAACAGTTCAATAAATAAAGATACAAGTCAATCTGGAATGGTCACCGTTCTCCTTATTTGTCGAATAACGCTCTCAGTCAGAGAGGAATCTCACTGCTTAACCAAAGGCTCTTGGTTTTATGGCAGAATAATACCACTTGTCCACAAGAACTCTGTAAAACTGGTTTGCCAAGGCTTTTGGGTCTAATCCACTTTAGAAAAAGGCTCTTAGCATGTTCATAAGCTAAGTCCAGCCATTTTCAATAACTGTTTGTACAGTCAGGTTTGTCATGACCCGGAGTTTGCTGTTGTTGAATAAGTTTTTAGCTTACTGGCTGGAAAACAACACTCAAACAACAATAGGCTTGTTTTCAAAGATCCAGAATAACTCCATTTATATATTAGTTTCCCGGACGAACATGGCACACTTCGGAAACGTGACTTGTTATGTTCTCGAGGAGGAAGGCGTTAAGAGAAACACTGAGCCAAACTCAGCGTTTGCCGAACAATGGGACTGACTGCGGTACCACGAGGCAGACCCAAACAATCATCATGCCTCGGCGATCCGTCAGAAGGTAAATAAACAGAGCACATGTGGTGGATGGCTTCCTGTTTTGGAAGAACGTTCTTCACCCTTGTACTAGACCTAAGTTTAGGACAGTGCTGAATTCCTTCCTTACGGAGGTGATGCTGAGGACTGTTTGAGGCAAGAGATGACCAGATGTGGGACACTCACATGGTTGTTCTTTGGGGTCTTCAGCAGCACCCTGAGCAGACTACTTATGCCATTGCTGCGGTCCAGGCTCAACACGGCCTTATCCACATCATCCTGGCACTTCAGCGAATACAGCAGCTGGAGAAACACGACAGCTGCTAAGATACCAAGCCAACCTCCTTAATGGTCTTCCCTCCATAGGGTGCAGAAGGTTTACAGGCATGAAGGAAACCATGCTGATCAATGGGGCCTAGCTAGCAGGTATAGAGTCCTCAGTAGGGGTCTCTCCTCTCATTTTGCCCAGTCTTACCTCTTTTTCCGCGTAGAAGAGGTCCATCTGCTGTCCAAAGGCGTCAGTAGCTTTCTGGAGAAGCTCTTTGTATTTTAAGGGCCTCTGGAAGAGAATGATCCTGCAGGCAGAACCAAAGCGTTCAGGTCAGTATGTCAGCAAGCAGCAACATTTAAGGTCAGGCTGCTATAAATGGACTCGTATGTAGACCATTGATGAATATTCTCTTGACCACTGCAGCTTCAGCCATGCAGCAAAAGCCTGAGAAATAAGAATGGTATTAATAACTAATTACAGTATGTTAAACTTCAGTTCTGTTGAGAGCCATCAGGCATCTGGCAATGTGAGACATAATTCTGCCTTTTTTAACCTCAGTGGATGGAGTTCCCAGAAGAGCCAACATCACGCTCTAGCATCTTTAATAATATTATTAATACTACTGTTCTTTTTATTTTTATGAATACCCTCACAATATACAGTATTGGTGTTCATGGTCAGGACCTGCTGCTTCTGTTGTCAATGTGGCAACAGGATTAACAGGACTAACAAAACACAGATCAGCTGGGGCGACGGGGGGAGGGATAAAGGTCAACTGCAACCAATAAAAATAAAAAGTTTGACCCAGGGAGCAATTCTATTGGTCCTCAGCACCACTCTGGGGTTGAAATGAACTGTCTAGCCATGCCAAGAGCAACAGGGCCTGCTTCAAGGCCGGACCAATGGCAATGAGGCCAATTTCCCTGGGAGGAAAGTGAAAGAACCGGAAAGCAAACGAGGAAACAGGACACTGCTCTCCAGCAACACTTGGCTTCACTCAAACTGAAAAAAAGAACCCAGCTGAAGAATCGGGTCTCATTCAGCTGGAAACCCATGGCTCTAATAGTAGCAGTGGTGGCCTAATGGTTAGTGATGTGCCCCTCCAATAGAAAGAGTGCTGGTTTGAATCCCTGATCAGTAAAGTATTGCTGAAGTGCCTTGAGTTTGCTGCCCCTTGCTATGTTACTTGGGTTAAATGCAGATTACACATTTAGTTGTTGTGTACTTTTTTTTGCATTTACCATATATCCACTAAATAATACTTCGCACTCAATATGATTTTATTAATTTTGATAGTGTCAACATTTGCGCTGCAGAATACTGGATAATTTTATTGGATGCATGCTTTAGCTGTCATTTTCATAGCCTTGAGGTGCTTCACTGACCCAAAGGCACAAGGTCTGGTGCTCAGACAGGACACCCCCCCCCCCCAGTCTCCATGGTCAACCGGGGGCACGGCGTCAGAGGAGCACCAGGAGAAGGAGGAGATAAGAGATGCCTTTCCTTCCTCCACATGGCCGAACTGCAGATAACCAGCCTGTTTATGGTCTTTTCCCCGATGGACGTGACGGCAGCACAACCTCCCTCATGCTCATATTTTTTCCACGGAGACAGTCACTGTAAAATGCCGACTGTTCTCAGTCAATCACTTCTTTGATTTGAGGTGTCTAGTAATATTATAATTGTTTTCCAATGTGCACTTGCAGCCAAACTGCAGCCTGATGACACTCTGGGATTTCCCAAAGGTTTTGGTACTTGGATCATGGTCCCATGCGTTTTAACAAGCCTCGGGATCAGAGCTTGAAATCTCAGCCTTAGGTTTTCACCCAAAAATGTTTTGTCTCTGTGGTCATGAAGTGCAGGTGTGAAGTGAACTGCTAGGACAGGATCATATCAGGCTTCTAGAAGCAGGACTGAGGTGCTCACAGACACACACCCATAAATTGAGAAATGAGTGAAACAAAAAATTGTGCTGTGGTCTTTAATTTTTTCTGCAGCTGTGTTAGTAAAACTGCATTCTTCTGCTGAAGATTTAACATTTCCATTACTTTGCATTAATTTTAAATTGTGTTCTAGGTTTGGAATTTTAAGTAACGTTAGTTAGAATTAAAGATTATAATAGCACAGTGATTTACTACTGTGATTCGCCTGAATGGGACTATGTGTTCGGTTATAGAAAATTACTCAACACCCTTCCAACCAATTAGATTGGAGAATTCCACAGTACCGTGGTATAACTCTTTTTAATGATGCTTTATTTGCCATTTGTCAAGTCCATATGAATTCTTTATTATTCATACATCTCTCTATTATCTCTCCCTCCTCTGGGATAAACACACAGAAGGGAGAGTGTGGCTTGGGCTCCGTCAGTTACCTGGCTCCCCTGAAGCAGTGCTCAAGCATTTAACAGTGACACGATTGCTCTATATAAGCACGGGAAGCTCCTGTTCACGGGCACAGAGCCACATACTGCCCCCAGACACCCCCCCAAGCGGCTTCTAAACACAGCCCCTGGTCAGAAGCCAGTGGCCTAAACTCTAAACTAAGGTACACAGCAGTGGTATTAAAACTTTATTTGATCCGCTAGGGCTGATATATTTGCCCTGACTTTACCCCCCCCCCCCCCACACCACCACACACACACACACACACACACACTGACCACAAATTAACTTTCATTATTAAATAATATAAAATTATTTTAAATTGTTATTTTTATGTGTACAGGCATATAATGTGTCCACATCATTTTTAGCATTTCTAAAGCAAAGCTCCACGTAGTTCCTCCCCCCCCCTCCCCCCAGGCTTGAATACCTCTGCAAGTATGAAGTGACTGTATGTGGCCAACAAAAGTGACTGGAAAATTTAAGTCTAGCAGACCCAGTAAGACGTCACTGCCTATACGGCGTTGTGGTACAGAAGCAGCGGATGTGGTTCTGCGTCCGGGGTTTAAGACCCTTGGCATAATTTCCTTAGATGGCCGGAGACATTCCAGGAGAGTTAGAGAAAAAAAAAAAAAAGATTCCAGCCACTACTGCACAAAACCCTGCTAGGAAATATCTGTTAATTGAACAGGGGGAAAACAATCATGTATTTTTCAGGGAAGCTTGTGCAGAAATGAATTTTCTGATTCAAAAAAACCCCACAGTAATCCGAGGAATTGGCATCCTCTCCTTTGAGATTTCATACCCCACTGAACGGCCTGGACGTTACTTTAAAATAGGATCAATTTAGTGCACAGTGGCGGGATTCGAAAGCTTGTATTTTAGCCATTAATTAACTTCCAGCAGGTCCGCTCTGCATAATTTGTCAGCAAACTGAAATGTTTCACAGTCTGCCGCTGTCAGTGCTGCTTCCGTGGCCAACAAACCCGGCTGAAGGTGAAGCGGACACAGAGTAAAGAAAGGTACAAAACACAAACGTAACAAGTTACGACTTTACCTTTTCTCTCGCTCATGTTCCAACTTAACACGCAGATCCTGGAGGAGAGAAGACAAAAAAAAAAAGTAATTGAGAACAATGTGCCTATTTGTGTATTATAATGGTGGATGTGAGATATGTAACTGGAGATGAAAAGTTAGCAAAGCCAAGTACTGCAGAAAAGACCTTCTGACCTTTAGAAACGACTACTGCCGAATGATCATCACCCGCAGGTATTAATGAATAAGAAAATTCCAGAAGGCACCCATGTACAAGTGGTTACAAAAGCATTTAGAAATCATGATCCAAAAAAAGACAAAGGCAAGATATCATTATTATTGATCTATACTTGATTTCTATCTGAATGTTTGACCAAAATCACCAATCAGCCGTAACATTAAAGCCACCTGCTTGATATTGTTTAGGTCCCTCCATCCTTTAAGTTTTGAGGTAGAGTCTCCAAGGGTTGGACTTATTTGTCCAGCACATCCCACAGATGCTCGACTGGATTAAGTTATGGGAAAATTGGAGGCCAAGTCAACACCCTGAACTCTCTTTCATGTTTCTCAAACAACTCCTGAGAAATTTGCTGGTGTGCCAGGGTGCGTTATCCTGCTGAAAGAGGTCACTGCCATTGGTGAACATTGTTGCCACAAAAGGATTTATTTGGTCTGCAACAATGTTTAGGTAGGTGGTACACGTCAAAGTAACGTCCATATGTAAGCCAGGACCTAAGGATCCCCAGCAGAACATCCCAGAGCATCACATTGCATCCTCATGCAATCTCTTCCCCAGGTAAATGACACTCACGCACCCGGCCATCCACATGATGTAACAAAAAAACGTGACTCATCCGACCAGACTACCTTCTTATATTGCTCCATGGTCCAGTTCTGACACTTACATGTCCATTGTAGGTGCTTTCGGTGGTGGAAAGGGGTCAGCATGGGCCTTGTCACTGGTCTGCAGCTACGCAGCCCAATACGCAGCAAGCTGTGATGGACTGTGCGTTCTGCCACCTTTCTATCATAGCCAGCATTAACTTTTTCAGCAATTTATGCTACAGTAGCTCTTCTGTGGGCTAGCTGTCCCTCCCCATGCGCATCAATGAGCTTTGGGCGCCCATGACCCCAACACTGGTTCACTGGTGTGCCTTCCCTTGGATCCCTTTTGGTAGGTACTGACCACTGCATACTGGAAACACCCCACTCGATCTGCTGCTTTGGAGATACTCTGACCCAGTCGCCTAGCCATCACAATCTGGCCCTTGTCAAAGTCATTCATATCCTTACACTTGCCCATTGCTCTGGCTTCCAATACATCAACTTCAAGAACTTCAAGAACTGACTGTCCACTTGCCTAATATATAATGGCACCCTTGAAAGGTGTCATTATAACTAGATAATCAGTGTTATCAGTGTTCCAATTAACTTACCACTGGTTTTAATGTGATGCCTGATTGGTGCATATTTCATCTCAGTTAGTCAAGCTAATGTTGTGCTCATTGCTGACAAAGTCTGCAGTGACTCCTTTGATTTAATTGAACTGAACTGTATTTCCTTTATTGTTATTGTACACAGTACATTGAGATTCAATGTGCAACTCTTCCATATGAAATGACAAAAAATAATACAATAAAAACAGTGAAAATGTACAATATGAAGACATAAATACAATGAACATATACATATTAATAAAAATGATGCAGTGTTAGACTGTGCAATGTTACGGGAGCAGTGCCAAGTTTACAGGGGTGTTTGCATATATATGTAAAACACATAGTGGACTAGCTAAATGAAGAAACATTGACTAAATACTGAATAAATGCATGCTAGTATTTTACAGCAGGTCTCAGACAATTGCAAGTTTGAGGGAGCTGTGAGGGTTAGATTATTATGGGATAACAGAACATTAAACCCACTTTTGCACTCTATAAGCAGATGCGCCAACATTCTAAATTTATGGACACTCCAGTGAAAAGACAGTTTTTGTAAGTATCAACCCATCTGCCTCCAGCTGGGCCCCTTACTTTCACTTCAAGCTATTTTACTGCCAGGATAACAGGCGATGTAGCACTGGATGAAGGTCAAGTGGAACATTCACTAAGTGGGACCCATAAGGTTAGCTGAGTTAGCTGAGAGGTATTTGTAATTTATTTAATTACAATAGATAAAATACTCTTCGATATCTAAGTCATCCATAGCAAAGGCCAGTGAACACATTGAATACAAGGGTCCTGGACCATGTTTCCAAACCTTTCTAGACACTATATGCTGTCAGACACATGTGCAGACAGCCCAATTCAGCGCAGCAGCTGCTGGCTTTCAAACAGGCTTAAATGCAGAGACAGTCACTGTAAAATGCCGACTCCTCTCAGTCAATCACGTCTTTGATTTGAGGCGTCTAGTAACATTATAAGTGTTTTCCAAGATGTACCTGCAGCTAAACTGCAGCCTGGTGACACTCTGGGATTTCCCAAAAGTCTTGGTACTGAGATCACGGCCCCATGTGTTTTAACATGTGTCTGCACCAGATTAAACGAAACAGCCCCATTGAAATAATGATTCGGCACCTTATTCAGGAATGCTGCACTTTTCTTACCATGCATTCCAATGACTTGGCAAAAAGCTTTTGGACTCAGCCGACTCTTATCACCTGCTTCTAATTAAAGTGCCAATTTGTTTATTGTGGTAAATGAGGCCTGTCTTCTAGCAGCCAATCAAAACAGTATGTTAGTATGGATGTGAGGCCTAATAGCTGTATTTGGAGACCTGGGTTCTTGTTGGATTTAAGATGGGATAATTGTAAGTGAATGAAGATAAGGTATATTTAAACGAGAGTACCTTAAATGTGACGAGTTATCTAGCTAACCACCAAATCTCACTGTGTGATACAGGCCCCTGGTGATGTCATTTTGTTACATTGATGATCCTCATTTTGTGAAGGGACAAGATTTCACCTTCTTAGCTGCAACTTAAGTGCCACTCTAGTGCTGATGATTTCACCACTAGTCATAAATCCAGCCTTTACCAGTTTAATACCCATTATCCAATCAATCATTTTTTTTTCTTCATTCGCTGGGCCTTTGGATAACAAAAAGATTCCAAACGCATGACCTCATTTTCATACCCCAGTGAAACAGGAAGCCACAGAATGCCACAACAGTTCCTTATTTAGCATAATTGTTAGGAGGACATTTTCCACACTTAAAAAAACACTTGCATATAAAAGATTTTTAGATCTAAAAGAATGTAGGCAAACAAAAATGTATTGACAAATTCCATTTGTCCAGGCTATATGATTAATCCATCCATCCATCCCTTGAACCTTATGCTTCCTGACTGATGCTATAGTTTCCCTGATCCTGATTGGATGAGCAGTTGCAAGGGTAATAGCGAAGCTCCTTACCTGTTTGAACAGTGGGGGTCTGGTCTTCGCCTTGCCGCTGGTGATTGAGGGGCAGCAGCGTTGCCCGAGAGCCACCAGGTCCTTCATAATGGAGTTCAAAGCCTCCTCATCATCTGTGGACAGGAACAGTGGTCCATATGTGGTCAGGCTGGGTCGACCGGGAGCGCGCGCGCGCGGTCAGGCTGGGTCGACCGGGAGCGCGCGCGCGCGGTCAGGCTCTGTCGACCGGGAGCGCGCGCGCGCGGTCAGGCTCTGTCGACCGGGAGCGCGCGCGGTCAGGCTGGCGTCAGCCACCCACCGCGTTTTGGCAACAGCATGGACACACCTAGCAACAAGGAATTAAACCCAACCACTCGGTATCTAAACTCCCTTTCAGAAAATCCATCTTTCACTCAAAGATTAAAAGTGAAACAACAGGCAATGGCATCTGGAAAAAGTTTCATATAAGAAAATAATTGTATTTCTCATTAATTTATTCACTTAAATGTATTACTGGTTACAAACACTACCCCAAGGAAAAACAATCTTGAAAACCAAGGTGATTAATAGACTAAACATTAAGCTAAACACGCCCTTGTCGGTCTGTCACTATTGCGACACGCCTGGATTGGGATGACGCACCCGTTAGCCGTTAAACCATTAGCCTCCACAGAACCTTTGCAGGTTTGCTGCACGGCCAAAACATGGGACTCGGATCACCCCGTGTTATCCCTGTATTCCTTCCATGTCTACAAACACGCAAAACCATGTGCTAGAATAATGCAATGCCCAGAGTGCTGGGGGCATAGAGTTAACCCCCCCCTAGCTGATTGGCAGAAATAAATTGACTATATATCCACCCATCTTTGTTCCAGCCACTTATCTGCATTTATCTGTCTTAATGTCTTTTACACTCCATCCATCAATCCATGTTCTATAGCCACTTGTCAAATTGCAGGGGCACGACCGCGTGGGCAGGGTGGTGGCTCTGTGTCCGTAATCGGAAGGTTGCTGGTTCAAATCCTGTGAGTGCCAGAAGAAATTATACTCTTTTGGGCCCTTGAGCAAGGCCCTTAACCTGCAATTGCTTCCTCCTGGGTATGATGCCCAACTTCCAGGAAATATTGAGAGTTGATGGCAGGATTGGCACTTCAACCACTGGGGAAAAAAAACTTCACACCGTTCCATCTTATATAAATATATAGTAATCTATATCTATATATATATATAATTTCAGAAAGAGCATCATCTTGTTTTACTCTATATGACTGAGATAATAAACTAATCGAAATAATCAGAACATAAAAAAAACCATAAAGAAAAAATAATGTGCATAAATATAAAAATATAATGGCATAGCCTGTGGCGTCTCGGCACCCTCCCCCACAGCTGGGACACCCCCTCCCCAGTGTGCACACTCTTATCTGCGGCAGGCATTAATAAGGCTGGTGACAGGTAACAAAAGGTGCCCAGGGAGGGGGGTGTAGGCATGTGCAAAGCGTGGTGTGTGTGTGTGTGTGTGTGTGTGTGTGTGTGTGTGTGTGTGTGTGTGTGTGTGAGGTGTCAGCATATTCACTGCATTCATGTCAACTTTGGGTCCTTGCTTGGGAAAAAACAGAATGAAAAAGGTGTCAGAAAATGTGTTAAATTAAACATTAAAGATTAACCTGGTGCAGCAGTGCTGTTTTGCAGCATTATGCTAATTCCCTTCACACCTTTAGCGACGAGATTACAGACAATACTGCTGCCATTTCATACAATGGGCAGCGGGTCAGTATCTGTCCTTGTCACAATTTCATTCAATTAAAAAAAGAAAACGTGGACTAAAACTGGGGTAAATTGATGTAATCTCACCACTTGGTAGACTAAGTTGCACATCTCCATGGCTGCAACTTTATGCCTGGTCTCAGATCTGTGTGTGTGCAGTTTGCATGTCCTCCCTGTGATCGTGTCGACTGTCCTCACTGTGTCACTGTGTGCACCAGGGGTCTCCTAAAGGGCACCTAGTGGTGGTCGGAGCCCATGTGGCTTCCTAGGCAAGCTTCAGCGATTGCAGCTTGCTGAGTCGTCGCCCCTTCAGAAGACCGCGCCCTTGGTGGCTGAGTATCACACCTAATGGGACAACGGGCATTGATGGCACCCTGCCCAAGCTGGTCCCTATCTTACACCCTGTATGTCCATGAAAACTCAGCACTAACATGGCCCTGACTGGATAAGTGATTATTGAATTTTCTTGCAAAGACAATATCAAAGAAACACAGAAAACACATGCTAATCCACAAACCTCAACATCTCCTTCAAGAGAGAAAAAACACTGTATATATCTCCACCCATTTACATAGAGGCATCTCCAGTACAGTGTCACAGAGAGCCTGGAGCCCACCTCAGTCACCACAGGACAAAAGGCAGGGGTCACCCTGAACAGGATGCCAGTCCATCACAGGGCACGAGGCAGGGGACACCCTGGATGGGGTGCCAATCCATCACTGGGCAGACATGCCTCAATTTAGAAACACAAATTAGCTTAGCTGAATATCTCAGACTATTTCTTTGCAGGACACTGGGATAACATGCACACACACACACAGATAAATCAGGCTGTCCAGAGAACATGAGAAGAGTATATCATATAAACTATTGAGCAGAATCAGCCAGTTCCACCTTGCTCTACAGGCTGCACTCCTGCATATTTTCCAGATTACATCATCGCTCGGCCTTCTCATGAACAAACGTGACATCTAACTGAACCAAAAGCTGTGAAAGATGTTACTCTTTTTGGGGGGAGGGGGTGATATCATATTCTTGTAATTATCCATTTTCCATGACCGTGTACATGTATCCAGTTCAGCATTGTCGGTGGTCCTGGAGTCTATCCCAGAAACGCACCTATTTGACAATTTAGCTGTAACTGCATGTCTCGCTGGAAACGTACAAAACGTACACATGAGATATAAGTTAAGGAAATTTAATGAATACAAATAAATTACTGCTGCCACATACAAAGATGTATAACTTCAAATTAAAATCAAATCTTTTTGTGACAGAAAACTAATAAACTACTTTTTCTCCTCCATCACACTAAATTGAGCATAAATAAATCAGTAATTGCAATGTGGGGAACAAATCTAAATGACGCTATACTGATAAATGTCTATTCTGCTATTTTCACACAATCTGCTGAGGAGTTACAGAAATACAGAAAATGATACAGTACAAGTCAAAAGTCTGGAAACACCTACTGAAAATCATTTGTTTTTCAACAAGATAATGACTCTAAGAACACCTTGTGGTTATGTAATAAGTATTATCTTGTGTACAAGGAAAGAGATGTAGTGCTGTGACAGATGACCTGGACCCCACAACCCCAGGACGTAAACCCTATGGAGCTGATCTGGGATGAGCAGGATCAAAGAGTAAGAGCAGGGTAGCCAACGTGTGCCCAGAACTTGTGGAAGCTCCTTCAGGACTGTTAGAGAAGCATCCCAGGTGGCTACAGATGGAAGCTGGTTGAAAGAATGAGTATAGTCTGCAATGCTGTCATCGCAGCAAAAGGGAGCTCTTCAAAGAATCTAAATTTTGAGAAATTTCTGAGATGTTGAACACCTCTGTTGATTGTAATATTTGATCTGTATTACTTCCCTGCCTCATGGTAAAGAACATAGCTAGAACAGAGACAAATGTATTAAATTCAGGTGTGTCCAGACTATACAGCCTATAGGGTTGGGCTCCAAGTCTCATCTCTGACTGCCCGTCCTGTTAAATGGAAGCAATCAAGGTGACAAGCGAGTCATAAATTAACATATTATGAGTCAACGGGCTCAAAATTAGCCAATTAGTTGAGTCAGGTAATTACTTCACAACTGGGGAAAACTATTCAGGCCAGAACGCAAGAAGCGGCTTGTAAAGCTACATGCCAAAGAGGGGCGCCCACCCCTCTACAGCAAATTTCGGAATATTCCGGAAGAGCGCGTTCTCTCATGCTGCCCAGGACAGTGGCAAAGCAGTGACTGACAGCAACGAGGGAGTATAAGGAGACGCACAGGTGCCATTTTTATTCACATGGATTGCCGCAAACAGCAAGGCAGGAAGGGCGGTGGGGGCAGGGGTGTCGTTTAGCGCATAGATCTGACAAACAGCTGGCTCTCATCCTGTCCTCCACCTACAGATCTAACCTGCTAGCGAATCAGCAAAACTCGATATCAGATATTGCATGTGTAAGATCAAGACGATATTCAGCCAACATCAGTTTCCTCAGCTGCTGGGATCAGCCAATAACGGCCCAACCATACCATTTTCAGCCAATAACGGCCCAACCATACCATTTCAGAAACGCAGGCTTACGGGTTGAAATCTGGCCATAGATCTCTGTGCCCCAGTTTCTCAGGCCTGGCTCTGCGTCACCGCAACTTATCACCTGCGTTCTATGAAACGATTGGTCCTGGCTGCTCCTCCTACGCCAGGTCACCACCTGTGCCACAAGCAGGCCCTTCAGATTGGTCCCATGTTCCTTATCCGCAATAACACTCAGCGTGTCTCTTTTTTAGCCCATCTCATCCCTCCGTTCGCTCCTTTGAAAGCAACGAAGCCGATCTCCTCCATGGATCGACTCATCATTCTGAATCAAAGATAGCTCTGTTTTCATTTTATCCCACCGAAAATATTGGTATGAGTCAGATGCAGGTGTTCTTTTAAATGGCTGGATCAGACTCCGCCCACCCCTCTGCTACCCATTTTCCTATTGGTTAATAGTATGAGTCAGATGCAGGTGTGCTTTTACATGGCTGGATCAGATTCCGCCCACCCCTCTGCTACCCTTTTTCCTATTGGTTAATAGTTTTCCGCAGCCCAGAGAAGTGATGGCATTTTTTCACAGGGCCTACATAATTAACAAAAGGAGAGCATGAATCCGATATGATACATTTATTGTATCCTGCATACAAACCCCACATTTTGGGTGTCAGCAGAAGTTAAATTAAATTAGTGCCAAACACTGATAACAAGGTTAAAAAAAATGCAAGATGCAAAGTATAAAACGCTAGTTCTCATTTACTCCAAATCGAGAACGCATGTCACGTACGATGCGTGAAATGCATGGAGCCTTCGCGTGAAATGTAAATTGGCCCCCCGCCAGCTC